TTGGTCGTACTGAAACAACCATTGTCTACATGGGTGTGGTCTTTGGTGAACTACATTCTTGATTTGCTGTTTTCGTCTTCGCTTTGCATCATTATGCAGTTAGTTTTGAACTGATGAGTGAGAACAAGTGGATATTTATTTGATTTCCACTGGAATAAGGGATTTTCTGCATTGGCATTATTCCTGGATTTTGTTTTCTTTTCACACCTGCAAACTTTTGAACATTACAGTCTACAGTTAACTAAGGTTGTTATACTTGATATAATTAATTTTAATTGCTCTTTATTAATCTATAGTGGCATTTCTTTTAAACTCTTATCTATTGGCCGGAGTATAGATTAAGGTTGTGGCGTATGTATAGTATTTTAAATATCTATAGTCCACAACATCTATGGTATGTCGTTTAATGTTTATCTACTGTTTACAGTTTAAATTGACTTGAGCGTCTGTGGAGTTTTAATAATTATCTATTGTCTACATTATAAATTAATGCTATGTGCATCTATGATTAGTTCACATTTATATGTCATATTTAGTCTGTCATGTAAACTTCACGCGTGTCACCATTTTCTAGTTCAGCTGTTATATTTGGTTTTTGATGGGTGTTTTTAAGTGTGTTTGATCTCTTCCTTATTTAATAGTTTGATTAATATGTTTGTTTTTTTTTTCCCATTTCTACAGATTGTTCAACAAATGAGAGGAAGTTGAAGTTCATGTTGGTCGTACTGAAACAGCCATTGTCTACATGGGTGTGGTCTTTGGTGAACTATATTCTTGATTTGCTGTTTTCGTCTTCGCTTAGCATCATTATACAGTTAGTTCTGAACTGATGAGTGAGAACAAGTGGATATTTATTTGATTTCCACTGGAATAAGGAATTTTCTGCATTGGCATTATTCCTGGATTTTGTTTGCTTTTCACACCTGCAAACTTTGGAACATTACAGTCTACAGTTAACTAAGGTGGGAATACTTGATATAATTAATTTTAATTGCTCTTTATTAATCTATTTGCCACCGTATCTGTTTCAGATCGACGTTGGAGAAGACAAAGATGACCCCAAAGNGTTAGATTGAGGATTAAACGTTTGACACTTTCTGCTACTGATATGTATAAGGAGATGTTAATTTCTAACTATAAAATTCTTTTCAGCGATGCTTCACAACTTTAGGTATTTTTAGTTAGTGTATTAAGGGAGAAATTCATTTATCAAGAAATAAAAACGATACATATTTAAGTAGAGGGTTGCAAGTGAACCCCGCGTCATTTTCAACCATAAAATTATTTTTACTGATGCTTCATAACAACTTTAATACATTTTGGTGCTTTCAGCTGGTTAAATAAAGGAGAATTTAGTTTGTGAAAAAATAAATACAACACTATTAAACTGGGGTTTGAAAGTACACCTCAGTAATTTCCAACTATAAAATTCCTTTTATTAATGGCTCACTACAGCCCTAGTACATTTTGATATTTCCAGCTAATTTAATAATAGAGAAAGTAAAAGGTAAAAAATTAATCCTACCTTTTCAATATAACGATGATTTGGAAAAAACAATCCTGGAACAACATTGTGGTGCCCACTTCCTTAATTTTTCTTCATTAGTCAAAAGCCAAAACACTGGGAGAAAACTCCTGATAATACAATGAAAATACATTTATTATTTAGAAATACAATTTACATTTATTATAACAAAGTACAAATTTATTTCAAATAACAATACATTAATATAAACAAAATGTCTAAGATATAATACATTTTAAGGACTTATAAGTTAAAAATAAAATACCTGTAAAAGACAATAAAATCAATAAAATTTCAAAGCAAATACAATAAAAATCATCATATTCTCTACATAAACTGTCATACCATTATTATTTAAATGTAAAATTAGAGAAAAAAAGCCCCCCTAACCTTCTGTGGTCTCCGCATCTCCCCTTATAGCCCTTATACACTAATTACAACATATTTAAGTAATAGTTTAATACATAATATATATAAAGTATTTAATAATTACAAAACCAGGAAATTAATTAACAGTTTACAGAGTAAAAAGAAAATACCTGTAAGAGAAGGAAAACAAATCACATTTATATGCAATAAAAAATGTTATTACTTACGAACTGTTATATTACCATTTCAACACAAGATTGAGGAGAAAAAAGCCTCCCTAACCCTCTGTGGCCTCCGCATCTCCCCTTATAGCCACCCTATCCACCCAAATGAATTTTAATAAACAAATATTTACTAATAAAAGTTACAACACAAAATATCTGAAAGAGAAAGACAAGNTTCAGGAAATTCTTAATGTTTTTAACTTCTGCTTTTTCCGGTGGCTCAAACAGATTTTGCCCAGGTCTTAAAATTCTCCAGGCATCAGATAGATCGAACAAAATTAAAATTTTCGTGTATCTTGAAGTAGTTCTCAAATTTGGTTTGAAACTTTTAAGACTGTTCTATGCACCAATATGTGCTCTTTCTAAATATTTTAGCACATTCTGTCTAGATATACATTTACGAGCTGCAACCCTCCAAATTACCATCTAATTTTAGTAAATCGAACAAATTCCAAGCAAGCGGGTTTCTTCAATAACTGCTTTATAGTTGAAGNATACCTTGTTCATTTTTGTGATATTGTTTTAACAGGATTTCCTTGTAAGTAGTCAGAAAACATGGGTTCCTTGGTTGGTTTGAAATGTTTTTTTTGTTATGTTCACGAACAACAGAGCAGCTCTTTAAAATTGTTTCAAATTTCTGCTTCTTAAAATATGGGTTCTAGTAATGTCAAAGCTTGTAGCATGCTTGTAGCTCGTGATTATACAACAACATGTAATCGCCTGTAAAATGGGTTGCATAACGCAAAGTACTGAATCTTGTAAAATTAAATTGAAATACAACCAATAAAAAGCTGTGTATATTACACCACTTTCGGGTATATCGAAGATTAACGAACTATGACGAACTGAAGGGGATAACACAACAGAACATTAATAATTACAGTAGTCGAGGTTACGCGTTAATGTGTTGTTTGTGAGATCGTTTGAATGTACTTTCTTTGTTCATGTTATTGTCCGACAAAAATCAAACAAGGTAAGTCTTGAAAGTTCATAATTGATATTATTATTTACAGTACGATATAAACAATTACACATATAAAGTAACTCGTGTATATTTATGGTTATTGAGGTTGTAAGAGGGAAGGTGTTACAATCATGCGTATAAGTCGTATACCTACGAAAGATTTTTTAGGTACTATGAACTAAAAATGTGTAAATTATTTTTTTTACCAATGCCTTATATTAAAACTAATCACATGCCTGTGTCGATATATTTTGGTACTGAAATTTTGCTTTATATGATGAAAACCATTTTAGGAATACGAGTATATAGGGAAAGATTGTAAAGCTAGAAGTGTGAAAATTCAATCTTACTCTGACAATTTAAAATTAGAATTTTTATTAATTTCACAATTTCTTTCAGAAGGACCATCCCATTACTTCTCTCATCTGTTATTTACTTTTATTACATTCCTTCAAAATGTGCATTAAAGTTTCATCCCCTCCCCCTTTCACATATCCTACATCGCCTTTCGTCCTCCTTCATCCGAAACATTCACCCCCTGCTTCCATTTCCCACTCTAAATCTTGTCATCACATCCACTTCATATTATTGTCTTTCAAATTATGACCCTCAGATGTTCTACATCTTGATTTACTTGTTCATGTTTCTGATTCACATTCAATTCTCTCAAGACTTCTTTCCTTTCTTTGTCATATCAATTTTTTATTTCGATTTTTACAATTCTTCTATTCTGTTCCTCTTTTTTTATATCCCTATCTTGATAATAAATAAAAATAAATAATTTTAAAATGAATTTAAAAACTGACTTCATTATACCTATAAACTTCGATAATATTTCCCATTCCCAGGGCCAACATGTTTGTGTGAGAGAAATTGATACATTCAGCAGCAGACCTCACAGTATAATTTTGCAAAGGTTCACCTAGTTGTCTTACATCCCAAACTTTAATGCTTTTATCAATGGCAGCAGTTGCCATGTATCTAAATAATAATAAACAGTATGTTCTCAGCCATTACAAATTGAATAAGTGGCAAAAATGATAACTCACATTCCTCTGGGATCAATATGGAGTGCAGTTAATGGTGACTTGTGGCAGAGCATTTTAACAAGGGGCTGTTTAGATGAAGGTGCCCACATAGTCACAACTCCTTTACTGTGCCCAAAGCATAAAACAGCGTTTTGAGGATTTTGAGCCATTATAGATAGACGACCCATGTTTGTATTGTATTGTGCTACAATTTGACCAATTGAAATGTCTAACCAACTTAAGTACCCAACCTCGCTCTTAAAAGGAAAAAAAAAATATAATTTAATTTAAAAGATCAACATAATAGAAAATAAGCAGGAAAAACTCTTACAGCTGTTGCTAAAATGAAATGATATGGCAAGAATTCCATTCTAGACACTTTATTAAGTTTTTTCAGACAGTGTAATTCAATCCCCTCATTATCATATACATAAACCCAATTTTTCTGGGCGACTGCAAACATTGTTTCTACATGCAGCCAACATATATCGTGTACTGTTTCCATTACGTTTATTTCACAGTGTAATTTTTTTGTCATCCAATCAAACGCGGCAACGTGCCCCATTTTACCACCCAAAAGCAGGTGTCTTCCATTTCGAGTATATTTCGCACGATAGGGGCCGAATTCATGCAGATGTAATTCAAAGTATTTTGTGGCTGATGTAATATCAACACTAGCTGCAATCTCTTTCTGTGTAAACTGAGTGCTCGATTCACCAGCATCTACTTCTAGAAAACTATTAAGATTAAGATGTTAAAATCAAGCAAAGCTTCAATGATTAAACATATAATTACCCTGTGGCTGCTAATTCAGTTGCTAATTTAATATTTCTTTCTTTCTTTTCAAATTTCTTCCTGTGCACACCTGTTCGAATTCCTTTTTTCTCTATGCCTTCACCTCTACTATGCCTCTGTAGTTTTTGTTTAGGTATGGGAACACGACCAGGAAACTTAGGATTAGGATTTGGAACATATATGATTTTTTTAACTCCACCATCTCTTGTTCTATGATCCCATAGTTTTGGTTTTGTATTAGCACTGTACTTAACATTCTTTCTACTTATTTTATTTGGATTTCTTTGTTCCTAACAAAGGCAAAATATGAAAAGAAAGTTTGATTGTAACTTGGAACAGTTTTTACCTTTCTGATTCGATTATCTTCCCTTCTACGACCCCATGGTTTTGGTTTCACGTCAATATTAAACACAATATCCTTCTTAAATTCTTTTTTCGGTTTAATATCTTTATTTTGAGTTTCATTTGAGTCTTCTACTTTCTCAAAATATCGTGGAACCTATAAAAAAAATGCATGGTACTAAATTAAGACACACATTTTGTTACATACTTTGTTCATTTTTGTGTTATTGTTTTAACAGGATTTCCTTGTAAGTAGTCAGAAAACATGGGTTCCTTGGTTGGTTTGAAATGTTTGTTTTTGTTATTTTCACGAACAACAGAGCAGCTCTTCATAATTGCTTCTTAAAATATGGGTTCTAGTAATGTCAAAGCTTGTAGATTGTGATTATACAACAACATGTAATCGCCTGTAAAATGGGTTGCATAACGCAAAGTACTGAATCTCGTAAAATTAAATTGAAATACAACCAATGAAAAGCTGTGTATATTACACCACTTTCGGGTATATTGAAGACTAACGAACTATGACGAACTGAAGAAAACGTAAGCAGGATAACACAACAAAACATTAATAATTACAGTAGTCTAGGTTATGCGTTAACGTCTTGTTTGGGAGCTCGTTTGAATCTACTTTGCTTTGTTATTGTCCGACAAAAATCAAACAAGGTAGGTAAGTCTTGATAGTTCATAATTGATATTATTATTTACAAACGATATAAACAATTACACATATAAAGTAACTTGTCTATATTTATGGTCATTGAGGTTGTAAGAGGGAAGGTGTTAAAATCATGCGTTTAAGTCGTATACCTACGAAAGATTTTTTAGGTACTGTCCTAAGAATGTGTAAACTATTTTTTTTGCCAATGCCGTATATTTAAACTAATCACCTGCGTGTGTCGATATATTTTGGTACTGAAATTTTGCTTTATATGATGAAAACCATTTAAGAATACGAGTATATATGGAAAGAGTGTAAAGCTAGATGTGTGAAAATTCAATCTTACTCTGACAATTTGAAATTAAAATTTTTCTTAATTTCACAATTTCTTTCAGAAGGACCATCTCATCACTTCTATCATCTGTTATTTACTTTTATTACATTCCTTCAAAATGTGCATTAAAGTTTCATCCTCCCTTTCACATATCCTACATTGCCTTTCGTCCTCCTTCATCCGAAACATTCACCCTCTGCTTCTATTTCCCACTCTAAATCTTGTCATCACATCCACTTCATATTATTGTCTTTGAAATTATGACCCTCAGATGTTCTACATCTTGATTTACTTGTTCATGTTTCTGATTCACATTCAGTTCTCTCAAGACTTCTTTCCTTTCTTTGTCATATCAATTTTTTATTTCGATTTTTACAATTCTTCTATTCTGTTCCTCTTTTTTTATATCCCTATCAGCTGAATTTTCTAATTTCTTCTGATAATGGATTTCCCTTTTTCTGCTTTCCTGTTCCCACATTTTATTTCTTTCCTAATCGCATAATCGGATGTCCTTCTATCTAAATTTAACAACTATCTTATATGTATAATTCTTTTACTTTCTGCTTGTTTCTGTTCATTCAATAACCTTTTCCTCCTTGCTCAATAATTCTGGCATTCACTTTCGCTATTTAATTATCTATTTGTATTTTATCATTGTTACTTACCTATTGCATAGCCCAGATCCGTATATTTTTTGACTTTTTATATTACACC